AGGCCTTCACCTAGTAATAGATCATACACTGGATCCTCACAATCATCCACATCAGGCACCCATCAAGGAAGAAGAAAAGCCAAGGAAGTTTCTCTTTAGTAAGAAGTTTCTACCTAACCTTCTAGAAAGCTATATTCAAGTGAGAGTTCTGTTTTATGTTATTTAGTTATGTGAGCTTCTTCCCTGTAATACAATAATTTTAATTTTTCAGCAACCAAACTATTACCAATTTACTTGTAATAATAAAAAAAAACATACGATCTTATAAAGAAGCGTTCCTATAAGTAATTTTTTGAGAACTTTTTATGAAAACATATAGTGTTTCTTTGAAAAAGCATTCGTATAAGTTCTAAATCGGAAAAAAAAAAATTTTAAATACCCATGGAAACACTTATGGTAATAAGAGCTCCGATATATTCATCCTTTCTAAGCATATTTTTATAAACGTTACGTTCCAGCACATTCTACCTCTATATTTAATTTAAGAGTGTTTTCATACATATATGAGCCCTCCTATAAGGGTACTTCCGTACACTTTTTTTGGGGGGATTTTGTTGTTGGGGGGGTATTTGTTATTTCTTCAGGAGGACTTCGTTATCATTATTATTTCCTGATCCCATCCTTCTTCAAGGCCATAATTATATATATATCCCACCCGTTTCTTCCTCCTCCTAATGTCTCATGACTCTTACAACTTTTTTTTTTTGGGCCTATCAATCCTGTGCTAACCTTTCTTCTGTGTTTTTTCTCTTTAAAATATACAAGAACATGGAAAGAACAAACAAAAGATAGTAATAAAATCAAATCATATTGGCAGGCAAAATATCTGGAAATAGATTCCCTCTTAACTTTGTCTCCTAACCTCTAAACACACGTGTGGCAGGATGGTAAATTCTTCAGAAACAAAAGGCCAAAGAATTGATGTGAGAAATTGTATTTTAGAGAACCGTGAGAGGACAAGAGAGCAGCAATATGAGAGAAGCTTTTCCCAAAGCATCTTGACAATACAAGGGAGGAGGAGTACCGATCCTACGCTAAGCTGTTTTAACTCGCCACATGTTTATTGAGTTTTATTTATAAATTACTTCAATCATATTTTATTAAAAAAAATTAAAACTCATTAATATTATTTAAAAATTTAATTTTTTTTAATTTTACACTTAATAAATAAACATATTTTTCTTTTGTTATTAAAATATAATACGAGATAATGGTGAAAACTTATAATATAAAAATTAAGGAGTCAATGTGGTGTCTTATAAATAATAATAAAAAAATATTTCTCTACCTTATAAAGATTATAGGAAGAGATATGTATATTTATGTATATGTATGCATGTAATTTCTTTAGTCTTTATTATAAAACAGATTCCAGAAGAAATAGATTATTCTTATTATATAAAAAATGTTGAGGTATTTATTAGGTTTTTCTAATATTATCCCTATTTGAAATATTTAAATATGAGAGAAAATGTAACACGAATTTGAAAATTTTTTATTTTAATATGGATAAAATCAAAAAATTATTTTATTTTTAGACCAAATTAAATGACTTAACCATGTCTTCCTAATTTCGATAATGTGATTTAATATGTCGTATATAGAAATGGAAAAATAATATGTATCTATTTTTAAAGCAAAGAAAGGATGCCAAGTCATCTGCTCTGTGATGCCTTCAAATCCACAAAATGGAGTCAATAATAGCATTATGCCTCGTTGAAATTGTACGTTTAGAGGTGGTACACTATAACCCCACCTACTTAAAATTTAATTATATGATCAGAGACATGACAATGCAGACGGTGATTCCAAAATACAATAATGCTAGACTTTGTCTACATAGAGCAAAGTCAACACTTAACGCACATGGAAGTTGATTTTTCCATATTGACTCAGTCAACTCAACTACTGCCTCACACTTATTATCCATATATATCATTTTCTGGGTTTTTTTTTTTTTTGTGTGGTCATTGATGAAACCCAGATATTTGTTATTCGTTTCAAATTAATCACATCCAATTAAATTTCAAAGAATGTTTTCCATTCATATACAATGAATGTAAATAATATAGTACCTCTGCTCTTGTGTACATATACTTTCTCAGGGCAACATTTTAAAACTCTATGTGATCTAAATAAAGGAAAAAATATATTAGTTAATTTTTTTCTCAATATTTCCCTTTTTAATTAATTGCATAAGCTGTTATTCCTAGCCCTTAGGTACACTTTATTGTGATTATTAATTTTAATTTTAGGCATTAAAATTGTTGAACGTTTGTTATAAAAAGGGCTAGAGTAGTAAAATATAGCCCTATTTTTCCTAATTGCATGTAGACTAAATATAACTCTCTTAAATGGAAGTTATCGAAGAAGTCTGGAGCCTAAGACAAAATCATTAGTAAAACATAGCATGTATAATTGCCCCTTCAAAAAAAAATCCACTAATCATTTTTCATATCATATATTAAAATTTTGTAATATAATAATTCTAATAAAATACTAAATTAATTTATAGAGAGATAAAATTAGTGCTTCTACTCCATCTTATGTATTGGGATATAATGTGAATATTAACATTGGATGGGGCGGCAATATATTTTTACAAAAAGATGTAGATAGAACTGATGATATGAATGACAGGGCGTGTGAAGATATTTTTAGGTCTAAGGCAAAATTATTTGTGTAAAACCTAACATGTGTAATTGTCCTTCAAAAAAAAAATCCACTCATCATTTTTTACAAAATTATATACTAAAATTATGTAATATAGCGATTTTAATAAATTACTAAATTAATTTAATAGTTAAATGAAAATTAGTATTGACAAGTGCTTCTACCCTATCTTATTTATTGAAATAGAATATTAACATTAATATGCTATGGCAATATATTTTTAACAAAAAAGACATAATTAAGACTATAATATCAATGATTAGTGTAAAAAACTAATAATAATTATATAAATTATGAACAAGATTTTAATAAGGCTTAAAGGTGCCATGTTGATGGGCTAAAACTATACAAGGTCTTGATGCTAATATCTGTCAATGTTTTAGACTTCAGAATAAAAAAAGGAGAAAACGAAAAGTGTGACCATGAGAGGACTTTAAAACAAGCTAATGTAGTATAAATTAGTGTATTATAAATCTCACTATTCTTTTGTTACGTAGATAATGAACTCAACTCAATAATTAACGTTATACAGAGAATGGTTGGAACTTTTTAAACAAGAATAATTAATACTTTTTATTCTTTTTCATCTACAATTAAATATATAATAATGTAAATATCAATTACACATATAATAATAGGGGTATTAATATTTTTTTTGGAGGCCTAAGGCAATTGCCTCACTTGCCTTGTGGCTTCCACGACCCTGTCAATGATTAATGTAAAAATTAATAATAATTATAAATCTAAAATAAAATTTTAATAAGGCTTGAAGGTATCAACTTAAAGGTCTGAACTGCACATAGTTTTTATACTAATATTTGTCAAATATTTAAGCTTTAGAGTAAGAAAAGGAGAAAAATGAAAAATAAAACTATGAGAGGAAGTTAGAGCAAGCTAATATAGTGCAAATTAGTATATTATGGATCTTGCTATTTTTTTTTTATGTGGATAATAAGATCAGCTCAATAATTAATGTTATGCTAGGAATGATTGAAGCTTTTGAATAGGAAGAATAATCAATATTTTTTATTCATTTGCAATTAAATAAATAATAATATAAATATCAATTAACATATATAATAGGAGCATTATGAATTTTTTTTTTTTGGAGGCCTAAGGCAATTGTCTCTCTTGCCTCATGGCTTACACGGCCCTATAACTTGTAGGTTACAATTTTTTTTTTTAAATTACTCTAGTTAAATCAAGGATAATTACTCATAATACTTAGTTGTAGAACTAAACAAATTAAGAAAAGAAAGTAGTTGATGATACAAATGTTATCCAGTAAGAACCTATTTTTGGACAAAATTAGAAGAAAAGACTTATATTTTAGACAGGAGGTAGTATTAATATTGAAATTTTCTTCTCTCTTTTGCCGCAACCTTGGACCAAAATGGAAAAAGGGATTGATGATTGAGCTCAGTTAATTCACATCAATACTTTTCAACTTCATCAAAAAAAGAAGTATGATATGGAGGCGTTTCAATCATTCAGACAACTTCATTAGCCCTTCATTCATATAAAGCAAGTTGTTCCTCCTCAACCTCAAAAGCTTCATATAATTAACCATGGAGACGTCTCAATACAGGAGAAGAACTCATAGCCTTCCTGGTTTAGTCATAACCAAAATATTATTCCTGTTTCTGATAATCCCTGGTGCAGCCTCAATCCATTTTAACTATCAGCAGTTTCTTGAGATGAGTTATGAGGACTTGAAGTTTGATGGAGATGTTTATCAACAAATGGGTTCCTCCAACTCACCAGGTAATATCATTTAATCTTCTAATTTATACATAATTTTTGTTTGGTTTAGGATAATATGATTTGTATTGGTATTGAGGTTACCTGGTTTCTTCTGATTGATTCAGAAGGCAGTGAGTCTGATTTGGACATTCGTTTAAAGATCAGTGATTACTTATTAGTTAGGAAAGATGATAATGATGGATAGTGAAAGATCAATAAATTGTTAGAAAGAAGAGTAGATTATTAATCTTGAAGATTCTGGTGAAATATGACTTGAAAGTTCTCTCTCTTTCTCTTATGAGAGAAAGGTTTAAAATTATAGAGTCTTTTGAATGATCTATTTAAGATTTTGATCTTATCTAATAGACTTCCAGACACAACATGTAGATATGAGGCCCTGATCCGTCATCCACTTTGTTATTAAATTTCATTTTATTCTAATAAAAAACAGAGGAAAAACAGGGGATTGTAACTCTGAAAATCAGTATGTCAAGAACCACTTGGACTCAAGTTTAAGAAAAACAAAGGGAGACATGAGAATAATTTTATAATAAATTATGCATGTAACCCCTTATTTAGACGAAATGACACAAAATTTTGCCATATTTTCAAACCTAAAAAGCAGAGCAGATTTGACATTGGTGTAATTTCAATGAAATTCAGTGGAAGTTTATCCAAAACAGATTTGAATGGATTTTGAAAACAGAAGGAATGCCTGCCTAATTTTACTAAAACTAAAAAAAAAAAATCCTTTTCTTTTAGGGAGTTTTGATTGTGTTCCCATTTTATTTTTAAACATTCTTTTGTAATTAATTTTTTAGAGTTGTTTTTCTGAACAAAACAAAAAGAAAACTCAAAAAGTTCCTTTTTGATTGTGTTACTTTTTTATTTAAAAAAATGTTATTTTGTAATCAAGTTTCTAGAATTGTTTTTCGGAATAAAACAAAAAAAATGTTTAATTATGTTAATTTGTAAAGTTTTTGAGTCCAATAATGGTGGTTGTTAATGGTTAATGGTATGACTTATGATAATGATTAACCATAATTGAGTTAGTTTTGAATAATCAAATATATTATGCTTTGAAAACAAAAACAAAACTGCAAAAATGGCTCTAAGATATTTTGATTTTCTTTAAAATAATTTGGGAAATCATATCTAAAGACCTTTTTCATAAACAAGGTAAAAAATTCATAAAAAAAAAACAAAATTAATTTCAATTAAAAAAAAAACAGTTCATGTTTTGTATTTTAACAATGATTTATTTCGTATTATTTCTTGTCAGAGAATAAATTTCTTACTAGGCTCTTGGATGTGATTTTCCTAAAAATTATAATAGTTTTGGATATATTTAAATCCAAAACACTCACTAAAATGAATTTTTATTTTATTCTTAAAAACAGAAAAAAATTTAAAATAAAATCAAACATGGCCTTAGTCATAATTTATCAAATCTCTAACATTTGACTCTGGCTCAGATATAGAAAAGACAGTGCTGGGAGAGTGACATATAACAAATTGTTACAACTTTGGGACAAGGAAACAGGAAAAATTGCAGACTTCACAACCCATTTCACTTTCATCATTGATTCACCAGATGAAATCATCGTGGAGATGGCATCACATTCTTCCTGGCACATCCAAACTTTTCACTTCCTGTACCTCCAGATGGCTCTGGGATTGGTCTTGTGGGTCGAAAACAGGTAATGGATGATCCAAATTATACACAAGAGCATCCATTTGTAGCAGTTGAGTTTGATACCTTGCCCAATGACGACGATCCGCCTTATGATCATGTCGGTGTCGACATAAACAAAATGTGGACACCTTACACAACAGAATGGTTAAGTATTAAAGATGGCAGAAAGTATGATGCTGAGATTACCTACAATTCTAGCTCATACCAGTTAAATGTTTTCTTCACTGGATATAAGGATGGCATGGCAATCCAGCAAGATTATTCCCATGGAATTAATTTGAGAGAGATTCTTCCAGATCAGGTTCAGTTTGGCTTCTCTTCAGCCACGGACTTCTTTGGGAGATACATACACTATGCTCATGGTCCTTTGATTCGAGTCTGCTGGGAGGAAACTAGAGTGCAAGCAAGACAAAGTTAATCATTGGATTAAGTATAGTAATTTGTGGGTTATCGTTATCATGGTTTATGATATTGAAGCTGAAGTGAAGAAGTAAGGAAGATTCACTTTTGAAAGAAGCATTGAACAAAATAAATCTTCCTTCAGTGAAATAAATCTTCCTGTAGAGAAACAAGTCTATAAGTGAATCAGTTTATTTAAGTAACTCTGTCTTACTTGGATAGGTAGCAGAAATCTTTCACAGGAATATGTCATCTTCCTAAAGTAAGAAACTTTATGCTATTAATGTCTGTGCTTCTATGGAATCTAGTCAAATCTTATGAAGACACCCTTGCAATTAGTGTGTAATACAACTGAAACCACTAAAAGCAACACAAACAATGACAATGTGGAGAAACTGTAACCAAATAGTTATACCATAATCTTGATTGACTACTTGTCTAGAATACAAATTTTTTCTTTTCAAACAACAACAACCAGTTTTATCCCATTAAGTGGGGTTAGCTATATGAATTGTATGATGTCATTATGTTTTATTATTTACTAAGTTTTTAAAAACGTTGTTAACAATTTCTAAATGTGGTCTCTTTAGTCTTCTTTTATCCCTCTTAATAGGGTTTAAAGTTATCTATTTCCCTTTTCTCGTGTGCTTCCTGTGATCTTCTTTGTGATGTTCAAACCATCTCAAATGATTTTCTACTTTTTCTTCTCAATAGATGCTGCACTTACTTTTTCTCATACATTTTTTCCCCAAAAAGCAAGTGTCTCAATCATTTTGTCTGAAAAAATAAGCGATTCCTTGATATCAACAACAGAAGGTTTTGTTTCACTACATCAAATAACTTCAGAAATCTTTCTTTCAGCTGGAAAGTTATAGAATGGAAGGAATACTGAAGAAGACATCATTTCTATTGTGGATCGAAAGACAAAAAATTGAAGACAGTTTTTGAAATACTTTTTAGGCAAAATGGAACAGGGAAACTTCACAGGAGAACCCAGCATGTTATGGTCACGCCTCAAGAGTTTGAAGAACAATATCTGGTGATTGATATCATGAGTATGTACATCAAAGTTCAGCCCAGCCAGCAGAAACAGAATTCACTTGAAATATTGTCCCGTGCGTACTATCTACAAGTTATTGCTTTAATTAAGCTCGTGCAGTCTATCAACAATACCATTGATAGAAGACTACTGTAAAAGGTTGATATATCATCAGCTAATCTGAACCTTTGGCAAATGACTAAGAGATAGACAAATTAAGCTTAGGGATTAGCCCATTAAGACCAATGCCTCCTCATTATTTGGAAGGCATAACAGCACTACTACTTTTGTCAACTACTAGATGCCCTTAAATAGGCCATCAAAACCAGTACATTTTTAAAAAATATTTTCAGTAGAGTCTCAATCAGAGCAAACATATTGGCATCACATTTATCTCGCCTTTTCAACCAGTGACAAAGATCAAATTAGACATGCTTAGGGAAAATTTAGATTATTAGACTTTGCTCGATGATTGGTGGCTCTGGTTTGCAGACAATGTTTGTTATACGAGGCAGTGAATATGTCGAGCAATTCATGTGTATGATTTAATGTTCCACACTCCAACCAGCATTGCTTCTAGGTTTTCCAAGAACCAACTCATATGGCACAAAAAACAGAGGAAAACAGAAATAACTCAAATTCTCAACCACGCTTATGCAGAAAAGAAGGATAAACTTTATATCTAGTTGTTATTGTTATAAGAAACTCTTTCTTTCAGTGAAAATTCAAAGCTATTTTATAAACATATAAAATACGTAAATATATAGATATATGAGATCTAAATCTATAGCTTAGAGAAACCCAATCAAACCTGATGACGAAAACTTTTAATCCTGTGGTCAAATCAATCCCAAAATAAGTCTCCACATGTGCTTAATTTAACCACGTCCTCTTTGCAAGAAGATCCGGAGATCGAATCTGAGGGTGACATTAAAGTTCAGCCCTTTCTCACTGCTTCCCTCGTACCAATTTTATGGAACAAGGAACAAAAGCAAATTAGAGCACAATATCAGTCGAATAAAGCTCCTATTTTGTATTTCACTTGCTATGACTTGCTTCACATAATTAAGCTATATGCGAAATACTTTCTTCAGTTTTATTTATAAGACACCAAAAGTAATTTTTAATTCAAAATATAGAATATCTTGTAATAATTAAACCATCTTTTCAACTTATTCCTCCTTGATTAGCGTGAAGGTATTTAATGTAGTTCTATTATTATTTAAAGTCAATAATAAAATGAAAGTATCTCTAACTTTTTTATGATATAAAAAAAAAACTAACTTTTATTAAGATAAGTGAAATAGTTGAAAATGTCTTATAATAAGGATTAGAGAAAGTATTAGCAAAAATGTGTAGAATTAGAAAGCAGCAATGACTTTCAAGCTTGAAATGACAATAAAATCCCCCTCTCACAACTTTTGCTTAAAAATAATAATTTTTATTCTGTTAATTGTAAGAGTTAAATAAGAAATTATAATTTATCAAATATAATTTTTATTATTGAAAAATAAATTCTCAAAATAATGAGCCCTAATTACAACCTTTGTTCTGTGATTATAAAGATTGAATAAGAAATTACAACTTATTAATTATAATTTTT